GGGCTGAGTTGCTGAAGCTTCTTGGGCAGCTACAAGTTTGGCTTGAAGCACCTGTAGCAGGGTTATAGGTACTCTAAGTGTAGCTACCCGAAATGCAACCCTGCTTACACCGGCATCATCCTTGACGGGCTCCGCTGCCTGCAGAGGGAGAGCCCTGAGAGTCGGCTGTGGTCGCATCCGCCACATCGACACAGGGCTGTGATGGGTGCAGCAGTGAAGGCGAAGCGCCTCTCCATAGGCGTCGTGCCAGGCTACTGCAACGCCGCGGACCTCGGCACCAAGCCTTTGGCAAGGGCCAAGCCAAGGATGGGAGAGCTGCTCTATACTTATGAATGCGAAGAATGCCGACCTCACGGAGTTCGGAAAGGATGATTATGGGCAAGCTGGTGCCCGGCGAGGCCTGTCGGCAGCCCTGAAAAGCTACATGGCCGAGACCGGGAATGCCCGCGTGTGAGCCATGTCAAGAAGTTTCATGCCCCTCGCAATCCTCATGGGTAGTTTTCTAAATTAGGGCTGTTTATAAGGGTGCCGTACTAAATTGGGGACCAAAGAAGGGACCCTAACTTAGAGAACTACCTCAAGTCGTCAGGCCAATGGAATCTCAGGGCTTTAGCCTGGCGGCACCCTTGGTTGGATTTGTGAGCGAGGAACTGCTGATGAATGTGTTCGTCGCGCTCCTGATCGGGATCCTCTTTTTCAGGTGCGAGAAAGAAGCCAAGCGATCCTGGACCCCAATCCCACTAGTGTCACGGTTTAGGGTTTAGGGTCTGGGTCTAGGGTATAGGGTTGAGGGTTTAGGGTTTAGGGGTTTAGGGTTGAGGGTTTAGGATCCATCCGCCAACTCCCCATCCAGAGTTCCACCGAATCGGAAGCTGTTGCCCCTGAGCTGGAAGCCCTATACTTCTTTGAACCTTACAAAGCCCTGCCAAATGTCCTACAAACACAGCCTAAAAACATTGCAAGCACATGTAAAGCCCTAGCAAAAGCCTGCGGATTTGGAGCCCGAAGTCCGAAACCCCTAAAATCCTAAAGCCCTAAAGCCCTAAACCCTAGACCCTCAACCCTAAATCCTAAACCCTAAATCCTAAGCCCTAAACCCTAAATCCTAACCTAACCCCTAAACCCTAAACCCTAAATCCTAAACCCTGAATCCTAAACCCTAAATCCTAAATCCTTAAACCCTAAATCCTAAATCCCAAATCCCTAAACCGAGCAAATGAGCTCTACTGTACCTCTGCAGCGAGTGGCACAAGGATGCCGGAGGGCGCAGACCGAGATGACACGCTCTATGCTACTTGGTCTTGCGGTATCAGGGTTTAGGGTTTAAGGGTTTGGGGTTGAGGGTTTAGGGCGGTATCAGGGTTGAGGGTTCGGGGTCGGTTTAAGGGTTTAGGGTTTAGGGTTGAGGGTTCAGGGTCTAAGATACCAGTAAGTTCTCAACGCATCGTAATAGGATTCCGCAGTCTTTTTGAATAGATAGGTCAAGTTAGTATCAAACAACCGTCAACAAAAACACCTTGCTCTAATTCCTCCGTCTGGGATTTCGGGCTTTTTTCTGTTGGAGTTTCTGGTATGGGATACTGTATCCCCGGAAGCGGTACTTAGATGCCGGTATTTCGAGTTTTCGGCTGAAGGGTTCCGGGCCTTTCAGCCGATAGGCACCGTAACTTTGCAGGGTTCCCGATGCCCTAAACCTGAAAAGCAGTAGAGTTTAGGGTTTAGGGTGAGTTTAGGGTTTAGGGTGTAGGGTTTAGAGTTGAGGGGGTTTAGGGTTTAGGGTTCCCTAAGACCCTGAACCCCAAGAGCCTTAATCAGCACCATAAATCCTGCAAAGCAGCGACCACCTCAACTCAACTCATGCCAAAACGTAGAAGCCGGCCCCGAATCGCAACAGTGAACATTTTGCATGGGGTTTCGGGTCTAAGGGTTCAGGGATTTCTACATGATTCGTCGCAGTATCCCCAGATAGCCCTGATGTAGTTCGCGTAACCATAGTCATGGCTCCCATTGAGACCCGAATCCGCAAGCCCTAAACCCTGATTGGACTTAAACCCTCAACCGAAAACAAATCTCCAAACCCTCCCAACCTAAAGCTCCAAGAGGGTTGCGGAAGGGTTCTACTAGGATTCTGGTATCGTGGTGTAGACTTCCCGAAACCCTAAAGCTTTAACCCCCAATTCTACTATAGTAGACGCCAGAAAATTGGAACATGGCTATCCCCATGCCTTTAAGATAAAATAATATAAGGGATCCTCGCACTAATCCTCCTAAACCCTAAACCCTAAACCCTAAACCCTAAACCCTATGTTCCATTTTTCTGGGAGTCGCTGTATTCGGGTGTGGGTATTAGGGCTTAGAGTGTGGCCGTAGTTTAGGAGGATGGTGGAGCTCCGGAATCGGTTCTTTTTGGAGTTTTAGTGGCCTTGCAAAGGAATTTTTCAAAATTCCCATACTTTAGGGTTTAGGGTGGTTTAGGGTTTAGGATTTAGGGTTTAGGGTGTAGGGTTTAGGGCTCAGGGTTTAGAGGGTTTAGGGTTTAGGCGAGAGTTCTCATCGTCCAGGGTGCTGGAAGCGTGCAGGATTGAGGCCAACAGCAGGAGGCCGAACCAAAAGGTTCTGGTCGGGGCAGGGGTCGATGGGGGTCGCCACAATATGCCCTAAACCCTAAACCCTATGCCCTAAACAACCCCGAGCCCTGACCCAGTCTAGCTTCCTAGTATCCTACTAACAAACATCCCGGATCTAAGCCCTAAGCCCATCACCTTACGCCCCAAGACACGAAGCCCGACGACCTTAGCAGCGCTCCCGAGGACGCGTTTGGGTCCTCCGGCGAATCGGACACGACCGAGTCTGGCGACGACGTCGGATGAGGGTCTGAGGCTGCCGATGCTTAGGGTTTGGGGTTTACGGGTTTAGGGTCTTCTGGATGTAGGGTTTACGGTCTTCTGGGTGTATCTTTTTTTGAGTTTAGGGTTTGCAGGTTTAGGGTCTTCTGGGTGTAGGGTTTACGGGTTTAGGGTCTTCCGGGTGTAGGGTGTTTAGGGGTTTAGGGTCTTCTGGGTTTAGAGCTGAAGGTTTTTGGGGCCTTTGCGCCAGTCTGAGGGTTTGGGCTCGAAGAACTTGTGGGGGTCGGGTTTCGAAGTGAAGGGCTTTTTGGACGGTTGGGGCTCGCAGCCCTTTGGGTTGGGGCCCTAAACCCGAAACCTGAGACCCGAAACCCTAAACCCAACGATTTTGTTTTTTGCTATAGATGTGTTAAGGAGCCCCAAGGAATAGTAATTATTGGTAATCATTTGAGAGTTCTATATCTTCGACCTTGCCCTAAATCCTCAGCCCCGAAACTTGGATTTTGGCCCTAAGCCTTACTCCCTACATCCCGACGAAATTTCGAAGAATTGGATCTTACGCCCTACGCCAGAAGCCATAAGCTCGTTCTCGCAAAACCTTAACCCGAAAACCCGAAGCCATAAACCATAGGCTCTACATCTTACCAAAAACCATCGAAACCCTAAACCCCTCCCTAAATCCCACAGGCCCTCAAACCTAAACCTTAAACCCTAAACCTCTACCTCAAACCCTCCTCAACCCGAAACCGGCCCCCTAAACCCCAAACCCTAAAGCCTAAACCCTTAACCCCAAACCCCTAAACCGTCAACCCTAAACCCCTAAACCCTAAACCCCCAAAACCGTAAAGACTAAACCCTAAACCCCTAAACCCTAAACCCTAAACCCCGAAACCCTAAACCCTGAAACCCTAAAGCCCAAACCCTCCTACAGAGCGCCCATCGTCGGAGGTCGATGTCAGCATTTTGAGCGTGCTCGGCTGCCTTGGGGACTTTCTCCGACCCTCTAAAGCTTAAGGAAAAACGGTCAGGGTTTAGGGTTTAGGGCTTAGGGTTTAGGGTTTAGGGTTTAGGATTTAGGGTTGTTGGTTACAAAAGGGGGGGCGACTCAGAAGTGTTACCCCACAGGGCTACGAAGGAGGGTGACTATGAAGGGCCACTGATAAGGGTTACTGTAAAGGGCTCTTAGTCGCGGGCTAATATTGCAGGGCTGGCTTTGGAAGAGGTTCTGAAAGGGGTTGACGTTTGAGGTGTAGGGTTTAGGCTTTAGGGAGTTTGGGGTTTGGGGCTTTGGGTTTAAGGTTGGAGGTGTAGGGTTTACAAGGGCAATTACAAGTGTTACTGCCAGGGTGTGGGCACACGTGCCACTCTGCAGTCTTAAATGTGTGGGGAATCGGGGTTCTAGCATAGTTCTCAGAAGAAACACGGCTGGAGAGCCTGCCGGAACTCCTTGCAGGAACCCTAGTCTCATCATCAAGGCCTCCTAAAACCCTAAACCTTAAGGCTCCTAAACCCTAAACCTTAAGGCTCCTAAAACCCTAAACCTTAAGGCTCCTAACACACTAAACCCCAAGGCCTCCTAAGACCCCAAACCCGAAGGCTCCTAAATTAAGCGCACGTTGGGCGTCTTGGCCCGCGACAACCGCGACGGTGGCATCCTTCAACCGGGCGCGTGGGAGTTGTTCTGGATCGGGGGTTTAGGGTTTAGGGCTTAGAGTGGAGTTAGGGGTTCCCTGAAGGACACTCGGTAGAGTTAGTTGTAGCTCATAAAGATGATGAGCCCAGAAAGTGGGACTGGAGTTTACAACAACTCCCAACTATTCATTTCAGAAGTCCCTTTGTCCGCATTCTGCAGAAACGCAGATACCCCTTGATTACGGGATCCGACTGTAAGTTGAGAATGCTCTTCATTACAAGTTGGAGTGGGTTTCCACCCAGTGCCTAGCTTTCTCACCTATTGCGACACGGTACAGGTACCGGGATGGGCCTATGCAGATGACGGTGGGTCAGGCTTGATCGGAAGTGTAGCCTAGACCCTACACCCTAAACCGAAATAAACCCTGCAGAAGCTTGCAGAAGAGCGTGCGGACGATTTTGGCAGTGGCATGTGAGGGCGACACTGTACAACCTGCACCTCACCTCGTCGCCACCTGCTGCTTACTCTTCAAGGTCCAACTCAACGAGCTGCTCCGCCAGCCGCAAGGCATAGTCGCGCCCGTGGATGCCGTTCTCCATGGAGCCGGCCCAATCATCACACCATCCTGGGTTGGCCTTTAAACCCTCTGAATAATACTTACATAGAGGGCCCCTTATAAGCCCAAATATCTGAAACATATCTATGTAAAGGGTCCCTTAAAAAAAAAACAAATAAGGAAAATCAAAAAAATGTCCCAAAAACCCAACCTAGCATCCCTCGCCATGGAGAGCGCCTACAATGGCGCCGACCATGGAGGCGGTCGTGTCTGTGTCACCACCCAGGTCCACGGCTGCCTGCACCGCGCATCTTGGGTCCCTGTAATGGCGAGAGACCAGCCAGAACACGCACGGGGCCATGTGAATGCTGGCGAGCTGGAAGCCCAAACCACTTCCGGGCCTCTTGTGCTTGTTGAGGATTGGGCCCAAGATCTTCTGGTCGTCCGCATCGTCCATGTTCACAAATCGGACAGCACGAGCCAGAGACTTCATTACATCTCGCATGTCGTCAGAGTGGCAAAGACCCAGAAGACCAGGGAGCAGCTCGTTTGGGTTGAAAGTGCCTGGGTCGTGGAGGAGGGAATATTGAACTGCAGCGGCCTGAAGCACGGCGAAGTCGACAGCCTCCGTGTGGCGGTGTGTGCCCAAGATTGTCTGCTCCACTGCGTTTCGAAGCGTTTCGGGGCTCGCATGGCGGTAGGCAAGGGCCAGTGGAGAGATCCGCATGGCTCCCCCGTTGGCAAAGGAGCCGCCCTCAAAGCGGAAGTATGGAGGAAGGCCCGTCTTCTCCACAGCGACACCGGCCAAGCAGGCCGCATTCACCTGCTTCGCAGTTGGTGGGGAGCCCCGAAAGTGCTCGTTGTCACGGAAGAACTCCGCGCAGCTCCGTGCGACATGCCCCGCATCGGCTTTGCCACACTCCACCAAAGAACCTGGGACTTTCCGAAAATAAGGGGTACCTTATTTTGGGGTCCTTATAATAGGGATCCTACTATTTAAGGTGCTATATTAGGGTCCCCTATTTTCGGAAACCCCCACCTGCTACTGCAAGGCAGGCGCAGGTGTCGTCGGTATACATCCCGATGCGGCCACATTGATCCAGTACCTCCTGGGGAAGCTCGATCCCTGGTGGCACAAATGCCATGTCATCAACACCACGGGCCAATTGAAAGGGACCTTGTAGCGTCTTTCCTGTTGAGATGTACGTGCCCATGTGCACTGCTCGAATGAAGCCCTGAACAAGAGGAGTCCGCCATTCTCCCTGCGCAAGCTTCCGAATGCGCTCCTGGCTATACCCCTCAAAGGCGGCACCCAATGCATCCCCCACCATGATCCCGAGCATGCAGCCCCTGGCACGCGACCGCAGTGCTTCGTCAGCAAGCATCATCTTCGAATGGCCACCAAAGAATGGCAGTTTACCTACACAGTTTCCCATGGCCTCCCCCCGTTTGTTGTTGATGAAATCTATATATATATATATATGTATACGGAATTATGGCTCAGACTGGACATTGATGCTGCTTTTTCCCTCTCACAAACTCGACACTGGAGCCGGCAACAGGGAGCTCAGGAAGTGATCAATCACCATCACAAGAAGAAGATGATGAGGAGGAGGTTGATGAGGATGATGAGGATGCTGACGATGATGACGAGGATGACGATGCCTCTGATTGTGACCACGATGATGTCGATGATGAAGACGGCCACGACAGTGACGATGCTGATGGTGATGGTGATAGTGATAGAAGTAACGTATATAAACATGATGAGCGTGGAAGTTTAAAAGAAGGGCGAGACGCTTACAGCTGAAGCCTGAAAGCGCTGAGACCCTGTACAAAGACAATGAAAGTCGGCAGAGACCCACAGAAGTCTAGAAAACCGCCATGAGATTTCGGACGTCTGCATCAACAAAACCCTTCCGAACCCTGGTGACACAAGCTTCACAAAGCTCGATCACCCAAAACTGCCGAAGCCTGAACCCCAAAAAACAAACCCGTAAAATTAATCGAAGACCGCCTCTAAATTTCTGAAGAACCACCCTAAACCCAACAGTGCCTGGTTGCCCTTGCTGCTCTTCTGCCGGTCGCCCTTCCGGCCACGCTGCATGCCACGTTTCTGCCGGCCTGGAGCCATCTGGTTTTCATCTACACATGCTTTTAGTTCCCCAGTAGCCCCCTTGATAATCAAGGGTACCCTTTTTCCTGCTACTCGGTTTTTTGTAAGGGAGCCCAAAAAGAGAAAGGGCAAAAGGGCACTACTGGGGAACCTCGTTCTTTACGTTTGTTTCGTTGTGGAGTGTGTCTGAACTGAGGCTCTGTGCTTAGGAGTTAGGGCTTCGGTTTAGGGTTGAGTTCATGTTTTTGGCTTCGGGTTTGTGGTTTGGGATTCCACGCTTGGGGTTTGGCGCTTGGGGTTCAATATTTCGGTTTGGGATTTTGGACCTGTGGGTAAGAGTTTCTGATTTCGCATTCTACGGCTAACGTGTAGCTCGTACCTGCATGGATTGCTTGTGCGTCTGTGCATACAGATTTTCTCGTCTGATGAAGTCACATGTATTTGGTGTGTCCATCTTGCTGAGATGCAACTTCTGTTTTTGCCACCTTTCCACTATGCCAATATCTATACATGTCTATAGTGCCTCCATGTACACATTGTACATAAACCTTTATGTTGTATACGTCATGTGTGTGAGCATATATATATATATATATGTATATCGCTTTCCCTCTATCTCTGGTCTCTGTGTGTCTGTATGTCTGTCTGTCTGTCTGTCTGTCCGTGTCTGCTCTGAAGGGAGAGGAGTGCGAGGTTAGGCACATGCAGGTGGAGCCTGCAACCGGGTTTTTTCCTGAATCAGGGTTCAGGGATGTAGGGTTTTGGCAGTTCGCAACTGAGGCGTATCCGTCCGGGGTTTCGGGGCTTTGGGTGGAGAGCGGCGGACCCTGTACCCTGAACCCTGAACCCCAAGCCCTAAAACCCTAAACCCTAAACCCCAAAACCCTAAAGCCCTAAACCCTAAAACCCTAAAGCCACAAAGCCCTAAACCCTAAAGCCCTAAACCCCAAGGCTTAAACCTGGGCATCCTCTACAACAGCCGCGGCAACCACGAGAAGTCCGTGGAGCTTCTGGAGCAGCACTTCGACCTCGCCAGGCACCTTTCTAATTGAGTTTTCTGATGTATATATATATATATATAGTATATGTAATATAGTATGTAACATTATATATATATATATAGAGTGTTGAGTCTTTAAAGATGTGTATATACATATAGACATAGGTAGGTAGGTAGGTAGGTAGGTAGGTAGGTAGGTAGGTAGGTAGGTAGGTAGGTATGTAGGTAGCTAGGTAGGTAGGTAAGTAAGTAGGCAGGCATGTATGTCCGTACGCACTTATGTCTGTCTGCCTGTCTGTCTTTCTGTATGCATGGCTGGATGTATGTATGTATGTATGTATGTATGTATGTATGTATGTATGTATGTATGCATGTGTGTGTTTTAACATATGCAATGTATGCGGTGTATGTGATGTGCAATATATTGCATTGTAATGCACTGGAATGCAACGTAATGCAATTTTAAATTATGTTCTGTCTATGTTCATGCAAGTATGCAAGTAAATGAAATATGTATCTAAGGGCTTAGGGGTTTAGAGCTTACAGGTTGAGGGGACCTCTTCAGGTGCCTATGAGCTTTGGTTAAAGGTTTTGGAACCCTAAGCCCTAAATCTTTTTGGGCGGCTTTGGGTTCAGGTTTGGGCTTCGAGCTTGATCCGGCAGGCAGATTGGAGACAGAAAGCTGATCGATTCGGCCAGCCACCTGTCAGCAAACAACTGGGAGTGGTACCCTAAACCCTAAATCCTAAACCGTAAACCCCAAGCCCTGAGCCCTAAACCGGAAGATTCCACAGCCTAAACTCTAAGGTTGAACCCATGGGCCCCTAGTATGGGCCCTTAACCCTGGGATCCTTACATACCTACTATATACCCTATATGTACCCCTAAGAGTCCCTAGAAAGGCCTAGGGGTCCATATTAGGGGCCCATACTTCTTATCTTAGGGTTTAGGGTTTAGGGTTTAGGGTTTATGGTTTAGGGGATAAACAGCCCTAGACTCAGGTTCGGGGTTTGGGTGTAGGCCAGGGATTCCGGTTCACGGTTCCTCCTGAGTAGCAGGCTCCCGATCCAGTTTTTGAGCCGAACCCTCGTTGCGCCTCAATTCAATGGTTCTCCCTTTAGGGTTTAGGGGTTTCGGGTTTAGGTTTTAAGGTTTGTTTAGGGTTTTAGGGTTTAGGGGTTTAGGGCTTAGGGTTTAGGGTTTAGGGGTTTAGGGGTTTAGGGGTTTAGGGGCTTAGGGGTTTAGGGTTTAGGGTACACCGGCAATTTCTTAAGGATCACTATACGACTGCAGTAGAGCACTGAAGCACATTCGGATGCTCAGACGGTTTCTTCCTTCGGTCCTGTCGGACCTCCACTAAACCCTAAACCCTAAAAAGGCTTTGTCTAGCGGTTCTGAGTGGTTGCCCTACACCCAAACCTCTCAAGAAAGACCGGCAGCGGGGGCCGTCTAAACCCTAGATTTAGGGTTTAGGTTTTAGGTTTTAGGGTTTAGGGTTTAGGGTCTAGGGCGTCTAGGGTTTAGGGTTTAGGGTTTAGGGGTCGAGCCCTTAGGCGCTGAACCCGAAGCCCTTCGCTACCCCAAAGCCTTAAACCGATTGTTAAGTATGTTGGACCCTAAACCCTAGACCCCTAAATCATCGGAAGCAGGGCTTGTGCGTTTCACACGACAGGCTTCAAAGCTCGAGAGCCCGACCCTGAAATATAAATGCAGTGCGGGGCTTCGGGTTTAGGGTTTAGGGTTCAGGGTTTAGGGGTTTAGGGGTTTAGGGTTTAGGGTTTAAGGTTTGGGTTTAGGGTTTACTGAATACAATCAGAATATGGCTGGTATTGACTTATGGTTGCCGAGTACAACTACAAGCAAACAAATCGTATGGGACCCGAGTGGAGGTATGGTGGACATACTTTAAACTCTTGTACACTACAGTATAGTATACTATAATATCCAAACCCCCATTCTGCTTTGCACAAGGAGTCGTCTTGGGCATGGTGCGTTTCGACCTTAGCTCTTGCCACGACGTTGGCAAAGTCTGCTGCCCATTCAAGCCTCGTGGAAAAGCGCCACTGCCACGAGGTGGGAACGGAAAGCTGAAAGCCTACATCAATATGGTGAACAACGACTTAGACAAGTTGCTGAAGTGGAAAAGCCGATGCCCCAGGTGTGCTGGGTTAGAGTATAAAGTCTACAGGGTTCTAGTAAAACACCGCAAAGAAAGCAAATCCATCGGCCTCCACATTACAGCTCCCTGTCCGCCCCCCCCACCCCATGGGAAATCCCAGCTCTAAATCTAAACCCTAAACCCTAAACCCTAAACGCTAAACCCTAAACCCTAAACCCTAAACCCTAAACCCTAAACCCTAAACCCTAAACCCTAAACCCTTACCCTCATATCCCAGGCCCCGATGTTAGAAGCGTTTACACGGCTTAGGGTTTATCCGCACCCTGAGCCCAAGGCACTAAGAGCCCACACCTCCGTATCACTCAGAGACTGTCAGTTCCTGATGCTTTCCGCGCCATGCCACTTTAGTGTTGTTGCTATGATTACGGTTAAATTACCGTCGCTGGCATTATCCTTATTGCCCTTACCTGTGCGACGGTTCATGCTGATGGTGGTGGCGATGATGATGCTGATGTTAACGATGATGATCATGGTGAGGATGACGGCTATGGTGATGATGCTGATTGTTATACCCATCGCAAGATGAGATGCTTTGTATGATTGGTCTAGAAATCATGCGCATGTCAGACGTCCTGATAAACAAACTTAGTACCCTTGTGTTATTCGCAGTGTTCGCATCCCGTCGTTACTCGGGCTATTCATACTAGCTGATGTAGCACCATTACCGTTGGCAGCAGTGCTGCAATTGTTGCTCGCGCAATTGTAGTCGCGTAAGCCGGCAAAGTATTCCGCATAAATAAACCCAGAACTCCGGCGCAACAATCTGACAATCGCCACCCTAAACCCTAAACCCTGAACCCCAAAGCCCAAACCCTAAACCCTAAACCCTAAACCCTAAACCCTAAACCCTAAACCCTAAACCCTAAAACCCTAAACCCTTGGTAGTGCTGCGAAGCTTCCCAGGCAAGCGCGCGACGCTAGACTCCTGAGTGATATCCCTGCTCTAAGAGGGGGCGGGGAGTGGAGTTTAGGGATTTAGGGTTCAGGGCTTTTTAGGGGTTTAGGGGTTTAGGGTATAGTGCTTCAGGGTTCAGGGTTTAGTGATTTAGGGCTTGAAAGCAAGCCTGATCCCATTATTGTGCATGAAGATCAGCTGTCTCACCCGGCTTGCCCTCAATGTGGGCTTGTGAATAGGCGCCCGGGTCGTCAAGGCTTGCAGTGGAAGTCTAGGATTCAAGGTTGAGGTTAGTGTTTAAGCTTTAGGGTTTAGGTTCAGGGTTGAGGCTTTTAGGTCACTTCGTAGGTTTCGGGTTGAGGGTTCAGGATTTCTGGCAATTTGTGGAGTAGACCTTTGCCTCTGCCTGCCTGTACGCCTGCGGGCCTGTGCCACTCACATCAAAACAAGGACCCTCGACCCTAACACAGAGCCCTTGTAGTTCCCATGCAACTCTACTAGAGTATCAAGAAACCCTATTCTGATTAGTAAGGCCCCGATATTGAGCGTCGCAACCTCCTCCCAAACATCTCGAGCCAACATCTGTTCTGAGTGGTGTGTTTCACTGTGTTTGGCCACAGCTTTCTCACTCAGTTGCACCCTCTGGGCTGCTCCAACAGCTTCATTGCAGGGAACTTTACATGCTGTTCCTGGATCCTCGGAACTATATGGGAGTTTCCAGAAATTAGGGTACCTTATTTTGGGGGTCCTTATAATAAGGATCCTATTATTTAGGGTACTATATTAGGGTCCCCTATTTTGGGAAACCCCCATATGCCAAGCTTTGATTTTGTGATTGCAGCTTAGGGCGTAGGGGTTCCCAAACCTGCTACTTTCTCATCCGTGGATCATTCTACGATGACGGGAGTAAGCGATGCGAGGGTGGTTGACAAAAAGGACACCGAGCTTCCGACCTTAAACCCAAATGTCTAAGCCCTAAACCCCAAAACCCTAAGTCCTAAACCCCAAATTCTAAACCCTAAGCTCTAAACCCTAAATCCTAAGCCCTAAGCCAGCAGCCTTTGCTTTGAGCCGAATCCGAGCCTGCATCGCTAGACGAACGGGCCTGGGCCTCTCTCTCTCTCTCTCTATATATATATATGTATATATATATATATACATACATACATACATACATACATACACACACACACATATATATATATATTGCATATACGTATATATATATATATACATATATATATATATGCTAAGATGTGCCCCCAAGCCCTCTTCTGATCATTGAAGCTCGTGGAGCTTTGGTCTAATGTTAGGTCGAGGATACCACTAGGCAGTTTTTGTACGAAGGGAGGACTACTGACAGCACCCCGCCCCAACAGTCGGTCTGCCGGTGCAAGATAAACCCTAAACCCTAAACCCTAAAAGCCAAAGACAGCTTAAGGCGCTCTTGTGACGACGTGGGTCTGGTGTTGGGCTCCTAAACCCGAAGCCCTAAACTCTAAACGGTATGTCGCAGCCCTTTGAGGCTTTCAAAGCTCCGCGGCGAATATAGCTTGTTTTGATACGGCACCGTGTCGGTCGAGGGATCTGATCCTTGGGAGTTTAGGGCTTAGGGCTGTGGTGTGTTGATTCGGGGTTGAGAGTTCTCCTTAAACTTGCAAAACGCAAGCCCGCACCCGAAACCAAAACGCTGAACCCTAAACCCTAAACCTTTGCCAGGAACTACAAGCACTGGACAAAGCGAACCTTCCAAAAGCTTCAGAAGAGCCGACCGGACGCGCACTGCCCTTAGAAAACGCAAGGCTTAGGATTCAGGGTATGGGCGGGACCTAAGGGTTTAGCATATAATATAGGGGCCTCAATAATTACCTGTTTTATTTTGGGGGGTGCCTTACTCTAATTATACTACAAAGGACCCCCCCGAAACCCTATTACATTAGACCTTGGACGACACATTCAATGCCCTACGGGTTTATCGCAGCATAGCGACAGCCCGCTAGTAAGGAGGTCCCAGAGGTCCGAGTATACTTACACTCGTCATCTTTACCCCCCCCCACTTCCCCAAGCCGTCACGGCTTTAGGGGTTTAGGGTTTAGGGGTTTAGGGTTTAGGGGTTTAGGGGTTTAGGGTTTAGGGGTTTAGGGTTTAGGGTTTAGGGTTTAGGGTTTAGGGTTTAGGGTTTACCTGTCAATGGGGATTTACCTGAAGCTTACTCTCTAGAACCTGTGACCCGATGCTGCGAACTATTGAAGATCTTGAAGATATGATGTTTCTTTAAAACCTTTCTGTGAGACCAAGCGAGCAGACATGCCGAACTTTAAAGTACGCTTGTCAAGCTTAGGCTTAGGGGTTTGCGGGCTTAGGGTTTGTGGTTTCGGCTTTATTTGTTGCCAAGAAAAAAAGTGCTGAACGTTTCTTGTTGACGTTGTATTCAGCTAGGCGTTCCAAGAATTGAGGCTCCCCCCTGTCCGAAATCCTTGGCAGTTCAATACGACAGGTTCACTCTCGACCGGAAATGGGTGCTCCCTTGGAGCATCCTTTCTGCAGCAAGCCCCTTTTGACATAGGCACCTTCAGAAATGGAGCCCTAGCTCAGGCAGCGGGAGCGGTACTGGCAAGAGCATTTTCTTCAACATCTAAGGAAGCTTCCCCCTCAACGCTAAAGCTGCAAAGCCCGAGCCCTGAACCCCAACCCGTTCCTGAACGCTTACAGAATCACAGAACCCCCGAAACTTCCATAAACTCCTTATCGAGCGCCAAGGTTGAGCTCACAGTTCCGCCTATCGATGGCGCAGGCTTTTCGCAGATGCTTCAGGTAGGTTCTATATCGGGTTCTAGGATTCTAGGACGAGGAGGGTTCTATAGAGGGTTCCATGAAAGTCCCACAGAGGGTTCTCTAGAAATTCTAAACCCTAAACCCTAAACCCTAAACCCCTAAACCCTAAACCCTAAACCCTAAACCCTAAACCCTTCTATATTTCCATAAAGCTTCTGTCGGTGTGCCGGGAGGCTTGGCAGCTCAGTCTGTCCCGGGCTTCAGGGTTCAACGTCCAGGTTTAGCGTTGAGTGTTTAGAGTTTAAGCCCTAAGCCCTAAA